TCATATTTTTGGGACAACCATAAAAGGAAAATGTATCTTACAAAATGGGACGGAGGGAGTAATATATATTTTTTGGAAAATTTAATATTAATATCAATTTGGTGTTCACATAGAATAGAATTGAATTATATATATGGATGTGTATATATATATATATATATATATATATATATAGGAAATCTTTCCGGTAAGGTATACCTTACCGGAGCCGCCGTGCAGCCTCCATGTTTTGAGGGTCTTCCTTGTGGAATTTTTCGATGAATTTTTTTGAGCATGTTCGTCATCAAGTCTAGTACATCCATACCAAATTTCAGCAAAAAATTCAATCGGGAAGACAGCCATACGATTTTTGGAAGATAACTGCATTTTATATGTATATAAAGGGTGCAGTTATCTTCCAAAAATCATTTGACTGCCTTCCCGATTGAATTTTTTGCTGAAATTTGGTATGGATGTACTAGACTTGATGAAGAACATGCTCAAAAACTTTCATCGAAAAATTCCACCGGAAAGGCCCTCAAAACGTGGAGGCCGCACGGAGGCTTCGGTAAGGTATACCTTACCGGAAGAGTTCCCTATATATATATAGCATGGCAGGATCTTACGATCCGAGTTACGATCTCCTAGACCCTGTCTGATCCGTGCTAGGATCGAGTTTAACAACCTTGCACTCATGATCCATATTACGAAAAATTGAGAGCAATGTCGGAATGACTATATATTGAATCCCTGCATTAGAGAATGACTGATAGACTGGTAGTATACACACACATATATGTTTGAGTTGTACATCCACACCCAGCCGTAAGTCCTATTGATCTTGTGTTGATCACTCACCGCTGCAAGTCGTATTGATCTACTGTTGATAACTTCACTGCTGACTGCCAACCTTGAAAAGAATGAATGCCCTGTTCACATTCCGCCAAGACACATCAACAATATTGATTAATAGACCCTTGGTAGTATTTGTAGTTATTCGTGTTAGTTTTCAAATTAATGAGAATAAACTTGTGGCTCCAATTATCTTCAAAGCTATCAAACATTGTTTATTGAGTATTGATAAATACAATCACTCTGTGTCTCTGTTGATGAAATGCCAAAAGAGCAGATTGATGAAGTTGCTAATAATGTTTGGCTCCGTGATGTCTCTATAATTTATCCAAATTCAAAATTCATTGGGGAAGAAGAAAACGAGTATGCTGGTCATTGTGATATACTGATAGAGATGGTTATATTTCTTTGCGTTAGGACTGCATCATCCCAAATCTGGAAAAAGCATTTCACATTTTTTTGGAAAACACATTTCATGTGTCTTTTCCATAGATACATGAACTAGAGACTGGAGGGGTAGAACATTTAAATACTGTCTTAAAGCTACAGTGGTAGTGGTGGAGTTGACACTGGATCAGTCACCAGTGGTTCGATATTCTGTTCTGTTGGTCTTTGTGTATGGGAGCATTCATCAGTTCGGATCATTCTGTATCACTTTTTTCTCGTGAAGTTAGATTTATCATTTATGTTTATCAATTTCTGTGGCGCGTTACAATCGGTTTCCTCTTTGTAGATGACACAAGGACTGGGGTGGCGAGATGATGAGAGGAATGGACAGGCTGATTCATCTCAGGGGGGGTTGGGAAAGATAACGGAGCAAAAGGGGATATTAGGTCCGGGCCCTGCAGAATTGCGTTTCCCCGAGGCACTTTGACCTCATTGTTGTTCAGTTTAGTAGTTTTCAACCATGACATACATACGTGTGTCGTCACATCTAAAATGTGCATAAGTAAAGTTCAAAGAGTTCTTTTTCTGTTTAGTGTGCATATTCTATAATTATTTTATGCACGTCTAGATTCCATTTTGTGATCCGGCAGAGGACTAAACGACTCACTATTTTAACTACGGAGTATTTTTCATTTTCTTTTGTTTTGTTATTAAAACATATTTTAAATATAGTTTTTTTATAATTTTGTAGAATTAGCCAATTCAGCCACTTCAATCATAAGTCATAACTTCATAAATTTCAGCATAAGCAATCACTTCAGCCAATTATTATCTTTAACTATTATACTCTCTCCTAATGTGTATGATATACTTTCCTTTTTTTGTTAGTCCTAAAGATATGAACACTTTCTTGAGTCAATATTAGTGATTTTTTACTTTTCCGCTTTGTTCATTTATATATTACTCCCTCCGGCCTAACATTGGGACTAGTCTTGGACCCGGTTTGGGCCGCCTGGCCCGTCGACCGGCCCGGCCCGCTACTGTGCGGGATCGGGACCGGCCCAGTTCTCGGGTCCGGGTCGGGCCTAGGCCCGGTGGGGGGGGGGTCCGGGCTCAGGTCTTATATTTGGCAAACCGGCCCGGCTAGTGCTGGACTCGGGCCGGAGCCCGAACCGCCGGTGGCCGGTTCCGGTCCCGGTTCCGGGCCAAACCGGGCCGGGCCGGGCCAGGCCGAACCGGCCCAATTAATTTTTTTTTTTGTTCTCCTATTTAATCCCCTACCCCTCCCCCTCAACCCCAAACCATCCCAAACCACCTCAAATGGCCCAAAATACCTAATCCAACCTAAAACTTAAAAAAATTTCAAAAAAAAAAAAAAAAAAAAATTAATATCCGGCCCGGACCGGGCCTGAACCGGCCGGGCCGGTTCACCAAAACCTGGGCCCGGGCCCGAACCGCCCAGCAGCCGGGCCGGGCCGAACCGAACCGGTGGACCCACCGGGCCCCGGGCCGGGCCGGGCCAAACAGTAACCGGGCCGGGCCGGTTCCGGGCCGGGCTGCCCGGCCCGAGTCCAGCACTAGGCCCGGCTGGGTCGGGCCCGGGTCCGGGCCGAATTGTCCCCCCCCCCCCTCATTTTTTGGGGTTCCACCCGGGTTGGGCTTGATGGTTAGGAGGGGTTTGGGGGGGTGAGGAAAGCAAATATATGTGTGTGTATATATATATATATATATATATATATATATATATATATATATATATATATATATATATATATATATATATATATATATATATATATATATATATATATATATATATATATATATATATATATATATATATAGAGAGAGAGAGAGAGAGAGAGAGAGAGAGAGAGAGAGAGAGAGAGAGAGAGAGTAATCTTCCGGTCAGGTATACCTGACCGGAGCCGCCGTCCGGCCTCCTCCTTTTGGGGGCCTTCCCGGTGGTATTTTTTGCTCAAATTTTTTGTGTATGTTCATCATCAAGTCTAGTTCATCCATACCAAATTTCAGCAAAAAATTCAATCGGGAAGGTCGTCAAATGATTTTTGCAAGTTAACTGGTCCGGAAAATACATATTCCGGACCAGTTAACTTGAAAAAATCATTTGACGACCTTCCCGATTGAATTTTTTGCTGAAATTTGGTATGGATGAACTAGACTTGATGAGGAACATACACAAAAAATTTGAGCAAAAAATACCACCGGGAAGGCCCCCAAAAGGAGGAGGCCGGACGGCGGTTCCTGTCAGGTATACCTGACAGGAACATTTGTGTGTATATATATATATATATATATATATATATATATATATATATATATATAGAGAGAGAGAGAGAGAGAGAGAGAGAGAGAGAGAGAGAGAGTTTGGTTCAAATGAGAATAACATCTAATGAGAGAAATAAGAATAAATGAGGACCCTTGGATTTCACTCTCATTTAAATTAATATAATAATTCGTGTGAGGCTAATATGGTCATTTTGAAAATTTTTCCCTGATAACTGTTCTCCATCTCATCTTCCTCGCTCGTTTTCATCGGCAACATCTGGTTTGTTTCTCATCTTCATCATTATTTCTCTTCTCTAATTTTAATCAGCTACAACTCTATATCTCATCTTCTTCGCTCATCTTCCTCGCTGGTCATCGGCGACCTCTCCTCCGTATCTAATCATCCCTTCTCATCTTCCTCGCATCATCGACGACCTCTCCTCTTTATCTCATCTTCCTCGCTCATCTCTGTATCTCATCTTCCTCGCTCATTTAATTTTAATCAACGACCTCTCTCATGCATCTGAATCTATTACACCATGTCATGGATCTCCTTATGTCAATTTTGAACTAATTCATCTTAAATTCTGAATAATATTGTCTTCTCGACAAGGACAACTATAAATTTATTTTAAATTATTTATTTGTCAATTTGATTTTTTCCACATATAATTAACTGTACTATTTCTATTTGTATTCACATTAATTTTTTGCCATTGAATTGATCTCTATTAGGGAGGACTTGAATCCAATTGTGAACAATATGCATTTTAGTTTACTTGCTTGTATTCTTCTATTCGAAATCACACAGTTTGTATAGAAATGTATTTCATACTTATGTTGATTGAGATTTTCTTATTTGAGTGCTGTTGTGTTGCTATTTCATTCAGCTAGTAGTGCACTTTCAAGCTAATTTTGTAACACTGTATCAACTATATAATGCACTAACGCATTATTGAATCCATTATCATTTTATTATTACATTCTGCAACATTTTAAAGATTTGCACTAACAGAATTATATGTGTTGCACCTTTTATTATTATCTATGCACTACAAGTCTCTAGAGTGAATTCACCGGGAAAGGAGCATAAAAAAAAAATCATATATCATGGTGGCATGAATGATAAATGTGTTCCAGCCAACAAAATCTGAAGTGGCATAAGTGGAGTGCAACAAAACCTGAAGTGTTCCCATAATTATATGTGTTGCACGTTTGTATTATTATAAGTGCATATTTTGACAATATTTGTACACTACCTTTAATTTCAACCTTTTAGAGAGATTATGATCCAATATGTCACATCATATTTTGCCACACATTGACTTCAGATATCTTTGAACTTGTGAATATCAAAACACCATACTGTATGCATAATGGTTAAAGTAAAGGTGCATATGTTAGCAATGTATGTGCACTACTTTTCAACTCAACACTTATCAACCTTCTGGATGTATTACAATTCAGTATTTTATGTCATATTCAAACTTCATCCACATATTGCCTTAAGTTTCTCTGAAATTTGAAATATCAAAACAACATAGTATACCTATGAACAAGTTGATTATATACAAAAGCATCTCAAATTTATCAAGTGCTACCAACCTATTACAAAGTGCGTACTACTAAAATAAGAAATTTAAATGGGTTTAGCTTTCATTTGTTTTGCTATGGCAAATTCCTTAGCTTGCTCCAAGTTCTCTCGTTCTTCTCATAGACGCATGTCGTTACGATTGCTGCACACTATCTCATTCGTAATGCACCCGGTTGTTTTGCATCTCCTTTTCTCACTCCACATCTCCAATCTTTAGCCCCTTATCTCATTTACGTCTTCATCTTTCCTTTTTTTGCACAAATCTTGACAGTTGACAATGATGAGAACCTTTTAAAAGCTCATAGTTACTATGTGAAGAACCTCATTCATTCATTGAATATGAAACCAAAACCTGAAAAACAGCATCTAAAAAAACATAATGGGATAAATGAAAACTATGTTTAACGCTTCTTCGAGACACCAAGAGTCTTTCCCCTGCGCCCAGTAGTCTTAGTGTGTTGTCCACATACACGCATACCCTAGTACGTAGTACATGTCGCAGACCACGGTGATTCTGATTTTTCTTCAAACACTCAAGATCATCCCTGAGTTTCATATCCAACGCATTGGAGACAACCTGCGAGTAGTTCCCACCCTTGTAATCATTCTGCTTGTTGAGGAACCAGTCAGGGTTCTGGAACTGCCTTGGGTTTGCAACCACTGTCATCAAATTCTCAATTTTTGCTGCAGAAAGTTCACCAACCCTTTTTTCATGTCAATATCAACTTTTTTGCAGCAGATGTTGGCGAATCGGTGGCCCATACCTTTGACGGAAGTGAGGGCAAACATAAACTTCTGCTTTCCATCAACGTTGGCGTTCAGGATACGTAGAATGTGCTGGAAATCTTCATTCGCTGCCAAACTCATGGTTGCGGCTGCGTTTCTCTCCTCTCTCCTCACACTCAAGCGATGCGAATCTACGTCTCCGTCTTTATGCTTGCTTTACATACAACAATCTGCCACTTCTTCTAACCATACCCATTTCCTGCAAATATGTAGGGATGTAATTCAATCAGTTAATTTACCTTTCACTAAATGATGCACATTGTATTAAAATGTAATGCATTTATATATTAAAAATTGGTACACAACCTTCACATCTCCATGATTAATCAGGTTAAAATTCTCTCATATGCTCTAAACAATTCACATTGATAGCAGGGTATTATTAATTTTCAGAGGGATAATCATTTCAATTGACCTACTATTAGACACCTTAACTCATAAATGATGCACTATGATTCAATAACTTGTGCAATGTTTTTCTCCCTGATGCACTTATATATGGTACCTCATGGTGCATAATTTTGACAAAATATATACTCCTATGTGGAGTAAAGTAATTTAATTCATGTGCACATAACCTAATATACACTTTAATAAGTTTAGGAATGTCATTCATTTGGTCAAGAAACTTGTACACAACCTTCACACCTCCAATTTTAAACAAGTTAACATATTCTCATATGTACTAAATAATTACACTAATATCAAGATATTATTGCTTTTTAAATGGAAACTCGTGTTTAATGACCTACTATTTTGCACATTAACTCACAAGTGATGCACTGTGTTTCAATAACTTTTGCATTTTTTTTCTCTCCATAGTGCAATTATAGTACCTTAGGATGCATAATTCTGACAAAATGTATAGTCTTATGTGGAGTAAAATAACTCAATGCACAAGTACATAACATAATATGCACTTTTATCAGTGTAGCTATGTCATTCAATCACTTAACTTATCTTTCACTAAACAATGCACATTATATTCAAATGTAATGCACTTATGGATATGCAAAAGACTGGTACACAACCTTCAAACTACAAGCATAATCGAGTTATCATATTCTCATATGCACTTAAATTTCATGAAATTTCTCTCACCATAACATTTCAATAATGCACTATAATTCCATATTTGGTTCACTAATAGGACTACAACATGCACTTAAATTTTTCAATGTGCTCTGTTTTTTAAAATAGTACCAAAAAACTTGGTATATTGTGCTATTTCGAAATCTAAGACATTCAATTTTAAATCATAGTATAGTTTCACATGATCGGTTTAAAAATGCATTCTGACGAAATACTATTGAAATACATAAATATTACCTTCTTCTGCAGTATCACCAGATGGTCCAGATGTTGATTCCACCCCACTTCCATTTTCTTCTCCATGGATGATGCACTGGTTTCAAGGGTTTTGTCATCGATCGATCCTTTAGTTTCGCTGTGTAGACAACTTATCTAGATCTCCGTCGCCTTCAGTTTCGCCGTGCATCGGAGATCTCCATCGCCTTCGAGTTTTTCGCTCAAAATATGTGCACACAGTTGTCGGGAAGTTAATATGCATCCCAATTACTCTTTTGTACGTTTACCTAAATGCCCTTTACTTATTATTACTCATACACTCTTACCAACTTTGTTAGCAGCCGTCGTATTTTTTTTTTTTCAAATTAGATCTCCTAATTTTCAGCCGCACGATTCAAGGGATGAGTGGTGAAATTTTGTTCTTATTTCTCTCCCTAGAGGTTGTTCTCACTTGAACCCTACCCTATATATATATATATATATATATATATATATATATATATATATATATATATAACCAAACTGGAGGCCCGGCCCGGCCCGGACCTGGACCGAACGCGGTGGCTACCTGGGCCGGTCCCAGGCCTTCCTTCCCAAAAAAAAAGCCCGGTCGGGCCCGGCTTGGAACCGGAACCGGCCCGGCCCGGGTCCATGACTAATTGGGACGGAAGAAAGGTGTGATATTTAAGAAAAGTAGAATATGTGGTTGATAATGAGTTGATAAAATGAGAATAAAGTAAGAATGAATTAGAGTCACACAAATCCTACCTAATATAATATGAGACAATAATACGGGGACATCCAAAAATGAAAAATGGGACAATTATAGGAGAACAGAGGAAGTATTTCACATCTTACTTTTTGCAGGTTAGAATTATAAAATAATCATTTTATTGTTTTTTTTGTTTACAATGTTTTTTAACACCTATAAATATAATAATGCATTTTGTTTTACATCCTTGCAAAATACTTCTTTTTTTGTTTTTCGTCCTTGAAATTTATGTTAGCTTTTTTTTTATTCTATCATCAATAATAACAATCCGACTAATAGGTTTCCTCTAATTCTTTGTCATGTTAATAAAAAAGTATTTAATTTTATTTATTTAGAAGGTTATTTATTTAATTTTATTTATTTAGAAGGTTATTTATTTAATTTTATTTATTTAGAAGGTTGTTTATATACTAACTCCGTCCCACTTTAGATAGGTATATTTGCTTTTTATAGTCAAAGATGATAAAAATTGATAAAATATTTTAACTAATATGTTTATTTAATGAAGAATTCAATATTCAGATCATATCCAAGTACAAGCAAAATTAAAGAATCCAATTCCTAGCTTCCATGAAACTTCCTCCATGTGCAAGTATGTCTCTGGGAAGTCTCCTCACACCAAGGAACCGCCTTCCTTAATCCTCACACCTCCATTGAAGCTTCCTTCTAGCTTCAACACACTTTCCTTCCACCTTCTTAGTACCTAGTTTTGGTGCTATAAATAGAGAGTTTGGAGAGTCTTTCTATCATCAAGTAAATTAGATCATAGATCATAATACCACAACCAAGTTCGAGTTGTGAATATCCTTGAGAGATATGTGAGGTGTTTTTGAGAGTTTTTAGTTAGAGCTTGTATGTCTCTTCTTTCTATTCTTGAAAGTAATAGAAGTGTTTTTCTCTCATATTAGCACGATCTTGTTATTCCCAACATTTAATAATTTTATACTTTTATGATAGTATTTTTAATAAAGAACATTTTCATATCGGTCAAAGTTTGACACCATTGACTTGAAAAATTAAGTTTGACTAACTACACTGGGATGAACGGAGTATATTTTTATAATGTGAGCCAATATTTTTACATTGTTTCAACTCTCATTTTAGTTTAAAAAAATAATAAAAGAATAAATTAAATATTTCTAATAGATTTATGCAATTGACAACAATTTTTTTTCAAAATAAAGTGAGTTCGGAGTTAGAGATGGATTAAAAACAAAATAATGCATATTATAGGGAAGAAAAAGAAAAAATATTTTGCATGAACCTAAACATAGTGTGTCATATTTGCAGGGATAAAATATGTATTTAAGCCTTTATCTAAATTTACATGTACTTCGTATTTTACATTATGGGAGAAAAGAAGTAATTTTTTATACAACACTAAGCTCATTTTAAGGATCACGACGCAATAAGCTTATAAGCTGATTAAAGATCAACTTAGTAGAACCAGTTTTGTTTATTCAATTGTAAATAGTTTCAAAAATGAGTTGACAATTTTAAAGATGTTTTTACTTGGATTGTAATTCGCTGGTCTGGTTTGGTCTGGTATGTTTAAGTCTGGGCTGATCTGGTCTGAACTGGACTGATCTGGTAAACCGTAAACGTCTGATCTATGTGTATTTTATAACCACGGAAGTCAAGTCTAGTCTAATCTGTTTAAGTCTGGTCTGGTCTGGGACTGAAAACAGTCCAATTAAAAACATCCTTTGTAACAATAATGATTTTTAATAAGGAAAAAGTACAAATATACTCATGTAGTATGAGTGTGAGAAGTAGAGAACAAACATATCCCTGAAGTTTATGTAAAACTGCATATATACCCCTGAACTTTTAAAAGTTGCAAAAATAACCTTGATATTCCTATAAATGAGCAAATGTACCCTTATTGACTTTAAATAAATAAAATAAATTTTAAAAAACACCAAAAATAAATTATAAATTCGAAATTGAAAAATAAAAAGTTAAAAAGTTAAAAATAAATTTAATTTTTTATGTTAAAATATTAACTCTTTAATTTTAAATTGCAAGATTATTATTTTTTCATTGTAAATGAAGCACTTTAACTTCATAAATATTAATTTTAATCTAGTTGCGGAATTTTAAACACATTGTTACATTTTTTTTAAAATAACATTCTTTGATTTTGTTTAACCTTAATAAAATTAAATTCAATATTTTGTAATCTTAGCACTATTTATCTTCATACAAAATATGCAATTTAAGGATAATTGGTGATAAAGTTAAATCATCAATAAGTTGTGTAGGGAATATCCAAATTTAAATATCTCGTGTTCAATCTCATGAGATGAACAGAAGAATTAATATGAGTTATTTACTCATATTTTTACTTAATCTCGATCCAAACTGGAGCAACAGGTTTTACCCAGGAGGTAAATTATGAATGCATTGAGCCCTACTGTTCTGCATGTTTTTTACTTGGTGTTGGGTTAATGGCCCAAATAGAGGATCGGCCCATTTACCCCCTCATTCAAACGAATGTCCAGCCCAACAAGGCAACCCACCCCGAAGAGCGTCCAGTTAGGACAACGGTGGGTCACGCCCGCGGACAAAGGCCACGACGACGAACGTCTCCCCCAAAAGCCCATAACTGCATGATGGCCAATCCAATCTATATGATAAATTCTCCCAAGGGCCAGGATACGAACGACCCACGACTTTTGCGAGGGTCATCGGGAGCAGGCCCCAAGCAGAGGGACGTTCGTCCCCACGGATTAGGCGGGAACCCAGATTCTGGCGCGAAGCGCATTTAATGCTGAAGATTTGGTGGTTGGGACATTAGCCATTCATAGCTCTCCACATCAGCATGGCTAACTGCCCATTGGTAGTATAAATAGTAGCATTTATTTCATTGTAAAGGGTTGACAACTTACTATACTTAGCTTATTACCTTATTACACGCAGCTCTTCTACTGCAGTATAAGACGAACGGCCTTTGGCCTTAGCAATTTTAGTGTACCGGGGCATTATTCATCATTAATAATATTCGGTCCTTACTCATTCATTATTTCCTGAGCCCATTTTACTTGCTGTTGGATCAGTTAACTCACCCACACTTAAACAATCCATTCGAAATCCTTGGGCTTACGTGTTGGACCCGAGGGTTGAAGGAATAAACCTCAACACTGGCGCCGTCTGTGGGAACCTGAACTAAAAGTTTCCAAAACTCTCTCGAAATAGCTACTATAACTACCCGCAGCAAGTAACGATGGCAAGAAACAACAACAACCAGCAACGCGACCTCTCGGAGCAACTGGAGAGTGGCCGAAGGAGCCGCGGACAGACCACACAGCGTTCTGAGACGTTGTGGACCACTAGGGGAAATGGTGGACTCACCAGCCTCGTCCCCCATGAAGCCAGACACGACCCTCGACTCATGAGGGAGCTGGCAGAAACTATGCGCCGGATGGCGGACGAACATGAGGCAAATGATGAGACTGCGGAGTCTGCCGAACACCACACGTCCGTGTACTCAAGGCTGGGACGAGTCCCACCCTCCCAAAACAGGGGGGCACACACTGGCGCAAGCACCCCCCGCTACGAGTGGCATGACGATCATCGGGCTCGCACACTGAACGTCCCCCACAGGCATCAGGGCGGGGAACCTGCCCCCGCCGCGAGCAATATCGGGCACCACTTCCAAAGGCGAGGCGCCCACATCACCCAGAGGCAGCCCGGGACAATTGCACCAGAGATGAACGTCGCGCTCGCGGCCGCGGCCCCTGTGTCCCCAGAAATGGCCGCACAGGCGGCTAGGCTAGAGGCGATGGAAAGGCGTATTGCCGAAATGGATAGACGTGCGGAGAATACTCCTACCGCTCCCCGCTACTCCCTCACCTCACCCTTCACCCCGCGCGTAATGGTTGCAAAGATTCCCAGGGACTGCAGGCCGCCGGGCGGGCTGGTGTATAACGGGACCGTGGACCCCAAGGCACATTTGATCAACTTCCAAGGGAACCTGTGTCACGCCCCGGCCTAGCCGGACGCGCTAACAACCGCCGCATAGTCCGATTAAGGCAACCGCAGTTCACCCTACTCGAACCATGCAAGGCGTACATGAATACCATTCACACTAGTACATCCATAAACAATCATAAATAAAGCATTTCAAATATACGCAGCGGAATACAAATACCTTTAAAAGTAAAAGGCCACACAGGGCGAACATGAGCACGCAGGCTCCCAAATCATTTATAATTTAAAAATAGTCCATGAGCATTATTTTATTTATATCAAAATAGAACTGGGAGAAGCACGAACCACGCCTTCTCTCCATGGATCACCCGAAGCAACGGGAACAGGAAGCAAGCTCTAGCTTCTACCTGAAACTGTGAGGTGGCCTCCCCCGTGAAGGGGAGGTCAGTACTTGGAAGCATTTGACAAGTACAATGACAACTATACTGAATATAATTCATGTTTCAAACACAAGACCCTCAAAATAGGGTGATACTATATTATGGGCATAACCTACAGCTACCCCATTTCAAATCACTTGTATAGAATATATATACCAAGTCAAATAGCCGACCCGTAGGTCCATTTGCATTTCAAAACCATTCCCCTTGTACAGCCCTTGGCCTATTCTTGCATATGACAATATCGAGAGGTTATCCCACCCCTAGTCTAAACCCAACTCCATCGAGAGGGTTACACAATTTATCATTTGTACTCGTCCACGTTGGACTTACCCACCCTACGGGTGTATTCATTCATTTTGGGCTTACACCCCCAGCATTATATCTTTGATTCATTTAGGGCTTACACACCCCGTATATTCTTAGTTTGTGTAGGGCTTACACACCCCGTATAATACTTTACTCATTTAGGGCTTACACACCCCGCGTAATACTTTACTCATTTAGGGCTTACACACCCCGCGTAATACTTTACTCATTTAGGGCTTACACACCCCGCGTAATACTTTATCATGTAGGGCTTACACACCCCGTATAATACTTCATTCATTAGGGCTTACACACCCCGCGTAATGCTTTATTCATTAGGGCTTACACACCCCGCGTAATACTTTATTCGTGTAGGGCTTACACACCCCGCGTAATATCCTTTATCTCGTTAGGGCTTACACACCCCGTATATATATCCCCGTATACTCATTGTACACGAGCAATCATAATCTATCAACCTCGGGCTAGTCTTCATCAAGACTCCCCGGGCTGCCTTCATATAGTCTAGGTAGACTCCACCATTTCCTTTGAGTGTGACCATAGTCCATCACTCATTCTAAGTTCATGCCTATCTAATTCAATACTATAGATAGCACATACAATTAATCACTACGGATTCATATCACTTTGATCATGTCAATAACTCAAGTATTCCTTACTTCACATTTAATCATTTTGCCTATCCACATAGGTATCCATATATCCCTTTTAAGATCTTATGGAATCACACATTTATCAACATTTGTCTATATCATGCTAATCCTCTATATCAATTCAATAATTAATATATTTCAAGGATTTCTCCCCTCATGCATAATGCCTTTGCTTATTCACCTTTGTAATATCACGTATCAATTTATATGACCACATAGCAACACATTTATTCACATTGGAGTATATCATTTAATTCCATCAAAATCATAATTTGATTACTTAGGTAATCTCATGCTCAACTCACGAGTTATAGACAATATAGTCAGCCATCCTCACCTTAAATAAGTCCAGCAAGGTTGCCTATTGAAGCCCCGTCGTTAAACCTTCGATCGGGAATGATCTGAATCCACCTTGGCTGGCAGAGGACAAAAGCCGCCCGGCTTTTGCAAAAGCTGCCCGGCTTTCGGGTTCTGCTGCACGAAAACAGCACCTAGAAGTGGCGGTTTCCGGCGATTTCGATTCCTATCGATTCCACAACTCTTCTAAGTTAATTACCAACACTTTATATCATATTTCTACACTTTTAAATGTGTAAAACATCCCCTATAATCCATCATATAATTTCTATGAAATCATATACGGAAAATATATTAAACGGAAGAATAAGAACCGGAGTTACGAGGTTCTTACCGCTAGGCTTCGTTTTCTATCGGATTTCCTTCACCTTTGGACTCCCTTACTCCCTGATTGTTGAAGGCACTTGGTTGAGCTCTCTTCCCTCCCTATGTGTCGTAAGACACTTCTAAGGAATGAGAGGATGAGACCATCCCTTATCCCTTCTATAATTAGAAGGTTGGGCCGGTTTTATTTGGGTTCGGTTCACGGGCTGTTTCCTTTTAATTAATCCGGTCCGAAGCTATTTACAAATTAATCCTCCCGTTGATTATGGTCTACACTTTATACGGAATACCCCGAATTAAAGTGTAGGAAACCCTTCAGCCTTATACGTGCTATTTTCGGCAATATGGGCTAGAACGCCATTTTGGTTACTTGATATATCTCGGTTGGGCCTAACGACTTTCATTCATTTATTTATATCATTTTTGGCTAGTAGACCATAGTAGGTCGGTCCTAAAATGTATTGGATAGTCCCCTCCAATATCCCGGGCTCAAACCCCTATACATTTCTATTATTTAGTAAGTGGACTCAAGTAGTCTCTCGTCTTATTTCTTTACCTTTTATTAGGCCCAAACCATTATATTTTACTTACTTCCTTATCCTTGGGCTTTTTATTTAATTTATCTATGTCCAAGAATATATTAGTTAGTATCTCCCCATGTTTGGGGTCCGACCCACAATTTAATAAATCGGTATTAATTTAATCAATTAATCATTTCTAGTATGATTAATATACTTGTAACTAGTTTTCAAAGTGAATATCTAATCATGACTTTAACTAATTTTCCTTGTTGAAATCAGTATTTGTACTTTCACTCAGATTTTAATACCAATGGATTAATAAATCCAAGTTTAAATTGGGAGCGGTGTTACAAGTTCACCCCCCTTAACAGGAATTTCGTCCCCGAAATTCACGACGCATTTTCATTTTAACTGACGCCACTCTATTTTTAGAGTACATACTTTTTCAAGTCTCTTCGTTGACTTGATCATTTTATAACATAGTTTAACCATCTTATCATTGTTGTCCTTAGACATTTTCATTCATACTGACGTACCCTTTTGGTTTATTTCATTTAGATGCTACACCATCTAACTACAGAATAACAAGTCCTTCCCCACTTGGGCATCAATTCTTTCTAGAATTCCCAAGTGGCCTTAACTAGTATGGGTTTAGCATACCCCGTTGTAAAACTTACTTACTCGCATACCGTTATGTAGTTGGCCCGTGAGCCCGTGTTCATATTTCCTTTCATTCATCGTTAGCACGACACAACCCGTAGGTCTTATTATTCATACGAGACTTGTCACCGCCATCCGAGGCCTCATTGGGTCCTCGGGCCGGAGTCCAACATCCCGCCCCTGGACTCATACCTATCATCCCGTAGGAAGGTAAGGCCCATTAGGGGTCCTATCTTATGTGTTACCGCTGTCGGAGCCTCGTTAGGTCTCCGATTCGGATTCCACCCTTATGCGTAGTTACATTACAAGTCCATGCTATCCAACCCCGCTCTCTAGAGTCGGGAAGGGCCATGGTCCTTGCTTATTACCATAATTCAACCGGCTATCCTCAAGGACTACCGAAAACACCCGAAGGTCAATCCTATATCTAGGATCAATTTATTATTCACTTTTATCTTGGGTATCCCTTAAGGCCTACCCCTAGTATAACTTAAAGTTATGCATGTCCACCTTAGCATCTCTTAAGACTACTTAAGGTTCAATATCTCACTATCCGAATCCTTAGGATTAATCCTACCATTATTTGTATTTACCTCCCGGCTAGTATTCTCATACTAGTTGGGTAGATCAAGGATAATCGAGCCCTCAACTCATGTCGTCTTTCAATACCCCATCAAGATACAACCCATAGACGAGCCTTAAGTCACCTCGGATCCTCCCTTAAGGAGTGCCCGGAGCATGACCCGAATTTCATCATCTTCCAG